GCTAAAGAGGGTGTAAGGAAGAGGGGCAGGAAGTAAAATAAAAGTTCCAGCACACTCCTTTTCAGCAGAAGGTATGAGGGAGATTTCAAGGTGGCATTGTAACAGGGGTTTTCTTCTCCTTTCAGCACCTTTTTCTGATGTCCTCAGTGGAGACCCTTGCTGTTAGATTATGGTCTGTATTGGTCCATTCCTGTTGTTTATAACAAAATATCTGGAACTATGTAATTTATAAGAAAAAAAAATTTATTGCTTACAGTTTCAGAGGCTCAAAGTCTAGGGAACACATCTGGTGAGCATCTTCTTTGGTGATGATGCACGGTATTACATTTTGAGAAAGGCAGGAGCAGAGAGAGAGAGAGACTCTTACATGCGCTCCCTTTAAAGCCCTCAAAACCACACCCTTGACCACCATTACTAATCCATTCACTACAGCATGGTCCTACAATCTAATCACCTTTTCAAGTCCCCACCTTTCAATTACTGTAATAGAATTTCCCACAGTGGGGACCAGGTCTCCAACACATTAACCTTTTTGGGGGACACACTTCAGTCCATAATATGATCTCTCATAAATTTAACCCAAATGGAGCTGGGAACCCCTGGGGACACCAGGCAGCTGCCAAGCCTCTGCTCCATTCCAGGGCTGGTAATCTCAGGAGAGACTCAGGGATAGCTGGCAGGGCAGAGGGAAAGTGGCAGCCTGTGTGGTTCAGTCCTGACACATATTCCTGCTTAGAGGATTCTCCAGGTCAGCTGATATGAGAAGGAAAGTAGATAAAACAGCCATCGGAGGGAAGATATATAGAATCCAGATCCAGAGTTTTTTTCAAAGGGGAGGGGTTGGGGTGGGATGGATTAAGGGAACAGGTTTAGAGTCAGACAGAGGGATAATAGTTAAAGCAAAGATCGGAGTCAGGGATTTGCTGGCAATAGAGAAAGTAGGATTTGAAGACAGAGATTGTGGGACTACAGAACTTGCCTTTTGACCCATGACCCTCTTGTCTGGGCATTTGCCGCTATCCTATTCCTGCATACCTCACCCATGTCATGCTTTTGCAATATGGACAAATCTCTTGTGGTGACAGTATGCCATAGTGGAAGGTGTCACCTAGGTAAACATGGGACCATTATGTTAATCGTGTGCAAAAAAAAAAAAGAAAAGAAAATGTCCACAAGGAGCTCTACGGGAGAGAAAGAATAATGACTGGGCCAGTCTCCATAGTCTCAGGAACAGCCATTGCTCTCAAGAAATCTTTCCTTTTGTCAGTGGGTGTCTAGGAGTTCCATAGAATTTCAGGAATACTTTTGTGTATGTTCTTCTATATTTTTAAGTGAAAACGTATATGTACATAGATAAACACATATGTATCTTTTACAAAAATTGAACCCTATCAATTTACAACTACTTTTAAAGACACTTTCCCATGTCAGATATAACAATGTATTAGCATTTTTTATTTTTGTAAGTTTTGTTTTACTTGAAATTATTATTTTCTTCTTATTTCCTCCTAACTTTTTATTAGAAAAATTTACCAGAGTTGAAGGAATTGTTCAATGCACATCCATATGCTTTTCACCTAGATTCAGTAATTGTCAACATATTAGCATATTTGTGTTAGTTTGTGACAATATTTGGTCTCAGGGGACTGTATAGCCTAGCAGTTAAGAGTGTGCAGGCAGTCTGCCTGGGTTCCAAAGCCAGATCCACTGTTTTCTACTTGTGTGACTTGACCTTGTGCAAAATCCTTAACATCTCTGTAAGCCTGTTTCCTTAGCTATAAAATAGGGTGATATCTCAGAGATTTCAGAAGATTAAGTGGAATAATATTTGGCATATAATAAATGCCCAATAAATATTATCTGGCTGCTTGTCTTATCTTCTCACTTAGCCTGGAAGATAGGGACAATGTCTTGACTGGTTTCACTTTAAATCCATGGCCATTAACCTCAAACGGGCCCTTTGTGCTGTCTGGTAATCCTGCCACATCTTATCAGTCATTCACTCTCTTACTTTCTTAGATGTTTATTTTGCTCATTCTCTCTCCTCAAACATTTACTACTTCCTGCCCCTTCTTCATTCTCAGCTGACAACTGTCCTTGTTTTACTGAGAATATAGAAGCAGTCAGAATAGAACTTTCATACATTCAGTACATCTTCCACCCTGCTTGCATCTATACCCATATGCTATGTCTTCATTCTTATATTGTAGATGAATTGTCTATATTCTATCTAAGGCCAACCCCTCTACTTGTACACTAGATCCATTTCCTCTTGTCTATTCAAAACATCACTCTGTGGGCCGGCCTGTGGCTCACTCGGGAGAGTGCGGTGCTGATAACACCAAGGCCACAGGTTCGGATCCCATATGGGGATGGCCGGTTTGCTCACTGGGTGAGCATGGTGCTGACAACACCAAGTCAAGGGTTAAGATCCCCTTACTGGTCATCTTTAAAAAAAAAAAACAAAAAAAAAAACATCACTCTGGTAATTATCCCCTCTCCTGCATCATCACTTTTTCCTTCTCTACTAAATAATTCCCATCAGCATTCAAATACACTAAATATCCCATCTTACCAGACACCCTCCCATGACTCCATATTCACCCCCAACTACTGTCCAATTTCTCTGCTGCCCTTTAAAGAAAACATCTTTGATAGAGCTCTCAATACCCCAAAATCCATCAGCTGACCCAGCTTATTTTACCATGAAACTTAAAATTCATCAGTAGATCCACTTTATTTTACCATGAAACTTGTCTCAAGTCCTATGACATCCACTACCATCCCAGTTCAAGCCTCCATCATCTTGCTTGTACCACTGTAAGACCTTCCTAATTGTGTTCCCTGGTTTCTCTCTTGCTCCTCTACAGACTATCTCTACCAATCAGTCAGAGAAATCCTTTAAAAACACATCAGACCATGTTTCTCTCTGCTCTAAAAGCTGTAATGCCTTTCCATTAACTCAGAAAAAAATCCGAAGTCTTTGCCCTGTTCCAAAGACACATGTTCTGGCTACCTACCTCCCTTACTTAGCTCCAGCTATGGTGATTTCTTTTTTACTCTTCCTTGAACATACCAGGCACAAACATACCTCAGAGACTTCCTACTTGAAGTTTCATCTTCCCAAAAGGCTCTTCTCCCAGACATTCACATGGCTTGCTCTTCCTAATCCATTCACTCTCCTAATCGCCTAGATAAGTATTTCATACTTTCTTTTCCCCCTCCTTCCCTTGTAATACCTCTTCCATTATCCTCTTGGATGATGACATTGTTACCCATTTTACTTCAAAAATAGAAGCAGTTAGAGAAGACCTTCCAAATGTTTACACTTGCCTGCATCTGGACCCATATGCTCTGCCTTCCCTCCAGTTATTGTGGAAGATCTGTTCCAGCTCCTGTTCAAGGCCACCCTCTACTTAGGCACTAGATCTCACTGCCTATCTCCTACTCCAATAATGATCCTCTTTCTCTCCTATAAGTTTCCTTCTCTACTGGATCATTTCCATAAGAACACAAACATTCTGTAATTTCTGTCATCTTAAATAAAATCTTCTTGTGACTCCATATCCGCCCAAAGTTACACCGCACCCCAATTTCTTTTCTTTTTTTTTAAAAGATGACCGGTAAGGGGATCTCAGCCCTTGGCTTGGTGTTGTCAGCACCACGCTCACCCAGTGAGCAAACCGGCCATCCCTATATGGGATCCGAACCCGTGGCCTTGGTGTTATCAGCACCGCACTCTACCGAGTGAACCACGGGCCGGCCTAAAACTTTTTTTTTTTTTTTTTTGTCTTTTTTGTGACCGGTAAGGGGATCGCAACCCACCGGCCATCTCTATATAGGATCCGAACCCGCGGCGGGAGCACTGCTGCGCACCTAAGCACCGCACTCTCCTGAGTGTGCCACGGGCCAGCCCCGCACCCCAATTTCTTTGGACCTCCTTCTATATTTGCTGCTTTAATTCCTCTTCTCCTTTTTTCTCTTGAGCCCACTACAATCAGATTCTTGCTCCTTTCTTCCACTGAAACTTGTCTCATCAATGTCACCACTGATCCCTTGTCAGTGATCTCCACATAGCAAAACTAAATGGTCAATCTCAGTACTCATTTTATTTGGCTTACCTGAAGAATTTGACATAGTTGGTCATTCTCTTCTCCCTGAAATATTTTCTTCACATGGCTTCTACATAACCCATTGGCTTCTCTTCTGCCTGACTTCTTTTCAGTTTCCTTTGTTGATTTATCTTCATTTCTTCAACTCTAATCACTGGAATGCTCCAGGATTTGATCCTCTTCTCTTCTTTATCTGAACTTACTCCCGTGGTGATCTTATTTAGTATCATGGTTTTAAATGCTATTTATATATTAATAACCCCCTAATTTGTAACTCTAGCCCAGACCCTTCTTTTTTTTTTTTTTTTTCCTTTTTTTGTGTCTGGCAACGGATCGCAACCCTCAGTGTTGCGCCCGGACCGGACCGGGACCAGCAACGGGATCGCAACCCTCGGCGCTGCGCCTGCACCTCGCTCAGCCAGTGAGCGGGAACCGGTCTGTATGTGGGATCCGAACCCTCGGCGGGAGCGCCGCCGCACTCCCAAGCAGTGCACTGTAGCAGTGCGCCACTGGGCTGGCCCCCCAGACCCTTCTTTTTAACTTAATCTTGAATATCCAACTGCTTATAAAAGCATCTCTTTTTGGATAATTAATAGGTGTCTCAAATTTGTCCAAAAATAGGCTCCTGATCCTCTGCCTAAAACCTGCTCTCCCTGCTGTCTTCTCCGTCTCAGGAACTGGCAACTTCATTTTTTCAGTTCCTCAAGCCGATACTTTGGAGTCATCCATAACTCCTCTCTCTCACAATAGCACTTACCCAATGAACAAATCACATTGGTTATAGCTTGAAAAATACATTCAGGATCCAACCACTTAGCATTTCCATTGCCACTAATCTGATTCAAGCTACTATAATCTCTTGTTCAGTTTTCTCCAATAACCTCTTACCAGGTTTTCTGCTTCCTCCATGCTCTTTTGTTTAAATCGAAGGTCTCCAATGGCTTCCCATCTCACTTGCAGTAAAAGTCAAACTCCTGCTTTTTCTCTGAGAGAACACCAAATGGAAGATGGAACCAGTGCAGTGGGAGGGTCCGGAGGCCCTGGGGGCCCTGGAATGGGAGGCCACGTGGCAGAGACATCCGGGGCCAAGGTTGCAGCCACAGTTGGGACTGGGCTGGGGCCATGGAGCTTGCAGAGGCAAGGCTGAAAACAAGCAGTGGATCCCCATCATCAAGCTGGGCCACTTGGTTAAGGACATGAAGATCAGGTCCCTGGAAGAAATCTATCTCTTCTCCCTGCCCATTAAGGAGTCTGAGATCATTGACTTTTTCCTGGGGGTATCTCTCAACTACGAGGTTTTGAGGATTATGCCAGTGCAAGAGGAGACCTTTTCTGGCCAGCAGACTAGGTTTCAAGGCATTTGTCACCATCAGGGACTAGTGCATCCAAGGGGCAATCATCCTGACTAACCTCTCCATTGTTCTGGTGCAGAGAGGTTACTGAGGGAACAAGGTTGGCAAGCCCCACACTGTCCTTTGCAAGGTAAGAGGTCTTTGCAGCTCTCTGATGGTGCACCTCATCCCTGCTTCCAGAGGCACTAGCATCGTCTTGGCCCCTGTGCCCAAGAACCTGCTGATGATGGCTGGTATTGGCAACTGTTACACCTCAGCCAGGGGCTGTATGGCCACTCTGGGCAACTTCACCAAGGCCACCTTTGATGCCATCACCAAGACCTACAGCTATCTGACCCCTGACCTCTGGAAGGAGACTGTGTTTACCACATCTCCCTGTCAGGAATTCACTGACCATCTTGTAAAGGCCCATACCAGAGTCTCCATGCAGAAGATCCTGGCTCCAGCCATGGCTACAACATAGGGTTTTTATACAAGGAAAATAAAGTTAATTAAGCCTGTTTTTTAAAAAAGTCAAACTTCTTAAAAAGACTCCAAAGGCCTATGTACTCTGCCTCCACCCCCAGTTAACTTTAATCTCATTTTCATTATCTTTCCCCCTTCCTCTCTCCTCTCCAGCTGCACTAGTCTCTTGCTCTTCCTCAGACTGGATAATTACACTTCCACCCCAGGGCCCTTGAAAACTCTTGTCCCATATCCACAACACTTACTCCGTCATCTCCTTCAGTTCTTTGCTCAAATGCTCCCTTTCAGAAAGGCTTTTCCTGATTATTCTATCTAAAACTGTATTCCTCTATTCCCACCCCAGCACTCACTACCTCCCTTCGCTGACTTTTCTTTATAGCACTTATCACCATCTAACATGGTAGTCATTTTATTTGCTTATTTATTTGCCTGTGTATACATTAGAATGTAAGCTCCATGAAAGGATTTCTTTGTCTATTTTTTTTTTTTGACCGGTAAGAGGATCGCAACCCTTGGCATGGTGTTGTCAGCACCACGCTCAGCCAGTGAGCACACCGGCCATCCCTATATAGGATCTGAACCCGCGGCCTCGGTGCTACCAGCGCCACACTCTCCCGAGTGAGCCACGGGGCCGGCCCTTCTTTGTCTATTTTGTCCTTTACAATTTCCCTAGCATGAATAAGTATTTGTCAAATGAATCTTGATGACTTTTGCTCTCTGATCTCAAGACTCACTTCATCAAAAGACTAATGGAATGCACCTGGTAATAGGAGGGCTTGAGAGTGTCTAAGAAGTCTAAGGGAATGGTACCTTAATACTTCCATTGGGCTGGCCAGTTAGCTCAGTTGATTACAGCACAGCCTTATAACACCAAGGTCATGGTTTTGGGAATCCTAGTGCTGGCCAGATGCCAAACAAAACAAAAAAAACCCAACTTCCATGAATATCTAACATTCTGATTTTTTTTTTCCAGCTTAACACCAAAACATCCCCAGCAACTAGCCAGGCATCTGGCCCAGAGGAAAAAGGTGAGTGAGGTTGTGCTGGTTAGTCTATAGAGCAGGTGAGTGTATGAACATGAAGACAAGTAGGGCTGTAAGTCTGGAAGCCCCTAAATTCAGATGTGAAAGGAATAAGAATGTAGAGAATGACTAGGTTAGAACTACTACTGTGTATTTATAGGCTTCTTTCCACTTTTCCCTAAGAAGTAAACCTATCAGTATATACTCTTTGATTTTAGAAACTGAGTCTGGAGTGGTTAGGGGAGGCAGATAAAATGATAAGAAGAAACTCATCAGATAATCCTAGCCACTGTCTCCATCAGAAATTGAGGGAACGCTGGAGGAACTGAATGTTCTTTGGGACCTGAACTGGAGGATTTAGGAATAAGTGATGATAAATTACATTTGTCATTTGATCCAAGAGTAGCAAAACTCCCTTAAGTAACTATAGCTAATTCCCAGCCTAGGTACCCTGACTCAAATTCTAGGAGAATTATTGGGGATTGGTAGTCCTAGCAAAGATTGGGGGACCCCTCAGAGTCTAACGCAAAGTGGACCTTAACCACTATATTTGGGGCCTGGAAAAAGGAGCTAGGGCAGGTCAGGTTAACTCATTAATGAGTCTCCCAACTATCTGCAGGGAAAGCTGGCAATGCCAAGAAGGCTGAGGAGGAGGAGGAGATTGACATTGATCTGACAGCACCAGAAACAGAGAAGGCTGCCCTTGCCATTCAGGGCAAGTTCCGGCGATTCCAGAAAAGAAAAAAGGATTCCAGCTCCTGAATGGCCAGCCTTGCACTTCATCCTGCTCCCTTTTTTCCCCTTCCCCATAGCCCTGACTTCCATGTGTCTTTGTCCCTTTGTCCCTCTAGCCTCTCACTGAGGCAAGTTCAACCCTTATATATTCTTTTCTCTGGCCCCCTCAAGCCATCACAGCAGTAGAAGCACAAAGAACGTGTGGAAGATGAAGATTTCAGTTGGCAGCCACTTGTCTAAGGGTGGCTCAGTTTCTCCTTGGGATAAGGCTCCTTGATCAGTACCTATGCCTGCCCCGTGGGATTGAAGAACAAGATGCTTTGAAGTTGAGAGGGGTCCCCTGACAATGTGGGAGGGGAGAACCTTCAGTGTAGGGTGCCTGAGGGTGGGGCATATGCACTGTTCTGCCAGTTACAACATTCACACTTCAGGTAACGTTCTTTCCCCTTCAGATCCTCCTGCACTGCCACCTCCAACTTCCTTCCTATGATCTAAGCTACAGGGAGGACTGGAGCCTTCCTTTCTCCCTAGGCCTAGGCAGACCTAAATCAAGCAGCTTACCACATTAGTGCATGCTGAGTAGGTTAGTTCCAAGGAAGGGAGACTGGGACTGGTAGAGTTTCCTTCCTCATCTAGTCTAGGACCATAAGGGGCAGAGGTAGAAGATGTTCCGGGGCCACACTCTGGGAAATGAGTAGTAGGGTAGATTTAGGGAGTAAAGAAAAGCAAAGAATAGGGAGATCTCTGAAGCTACAAGTTACTGCTGGTAAAAGTGTAAAAAAAAAAAAAAGTACTACATGAAGGATTCTTGGGGCTTTACCAACCTGCTTACCTCTAAACCCCCAGGTCCAGTCATCCCCAGAGGCCACATGAACCCAAAAGGATCACCCCTCAAGTTCTCACCTACTCCTCTGTGAAGTCAGGAGAGAAATGGAATAGCCACTCTATGTGACTGTAGCATGTTTAATAATTATAACAATTAAAAAACCCTCAAATAGGGTCATCTCATTTCTACTAATCTTTTTTCTTGGGAGGAATATGAATGCAAGCCTGAACCAGCCCCAGGGAGGGTGGGGGAACAGCTGCATGGATAACTAACACTGCCTGAGCAATTTTCAGACCGAAGCCAACCCCGCCTTCCTTACCCCGACCTTACCCTCATCTTGATTTACCACCCACGTCGTCTCTGCTGCTATTACCACCCCCAGTGCACACCTGCAAGGGTGTTCATCTTCGCTTTCTCCTTCCAGCTAAGAGCACACTTGGTGCATACCTCTCTGAAAACAAACCTAGTATTCCTTGCCCCCTATCCCCAAATAACCTATCCTAGATTTCCCTCCTGCTTTGTCTTCCTCCCACATTCTCCCTTCTCCTACTGTTTATCAAACTCAAGAGAAGGAGAAGATGACTCTGGTCACTAGGGAGCACTACTGTTACAGTGAAGATTTTAAACCATGACTTAAATAAAATGATCATTTTCAAATGAGCTTACATTGCTGAAAAATGACCTCTATACATTGAAACCAGAAGTCAAATGCTTGAAGATAAATTTTTTAATCTTATGAAACTGAAACTCTATACTCTTTAGACAATAACTTCCCATCTCCCCTCTTCCCAGCTTCTGGCAACCACTGTTCTACTTTCTGTCTCTGTGATTTCCCTATCCCAAAGTTTATCTTTGCCTAGCAAGCCCATAGTTATTGGATATTAGGAGAATTGAACAGTAATTCATGGAAAGGCCCTGTGTTAAATGAAGTACCTCCTCCTCTTGGTGCCAGAGAAAAGAAGAAAGTTTTACTGTTATATTTGGAATCTGTTCTGAGTGCAGTATAGTAACATGGTGGCCTTTAGTCCTGGCCTCTTAGACAAATAAAAGGGTAACCTCATTGCCATACCTGGTATGTGTCCTGGTAAAACAGGATGTTCTCTCATGCCTTGGACATGGAACGAGAATTGCCTGGTGCTGTACCTTGGCCTGCTCCTGTGGACGTTGAGGTAGGCAGGTGCTCCCTGTTCCTGGTGATGTGGACTTTTGAAAATTGGCTGGTGCTAAGGCAATGGCAGAGTTCTCTGTTACCAGCCCCTCTCCTGTAGACTCTGCTGTTTGGAGGATATCTGCTGATTTGTTTTTTGCCACACTGGTCTGGAGCATAGTGCTGAAATGATTTTTCCCTTTATCATCTCTTGTTCCAAAAGTGTTATGCTTATCTTTACACATATGTGTGTGTGTGTGTGTGTGTGTGTGTGTGTGTGTGTATGTTGACAGCTAGTTGGTATGGGGATCCAAACCCTTGACCTTGGTGTTATCAGCACCACCCTCTGCCAAGTGAGCTAACTGGGCAGCCCTCCTCATACATATTTTTAATAAAAAGCATGGGAACAAAAACATTGTCATCGTTTTGGGAAAGATAATTCTGACCAGAAAAAGAGACTTAAACATCTTTTGCTGAACCAATGGTAGTTCTCAATAAAGGTTCTGAAATCTGGTTCCTCTCTGCCAGGCTGCTTATTCCTACCATAGGCACTTAAATTGATCCTCTTCTCTCTGGCATGCCTGTAACTCCTCCTTGGGGCCCTGGGTTTTGGCTAGGATCCCTCCTTGGGGCTATAGAACCCTGCTTCTCTTCCCTGTCCCTCTACTACCTACTGCTGGAGAAATGATCCTGGAGTACTAATCACTGAGGAATTATTCTTGAGTGCTTTGTTTTGTGGAGCAAAAACTGAAAGTCTTTGGGGAATTGGTAAAGCTGTTATAAATCGCTTAGCAGAAGAGACAGGCATAAGAAATAAGGAAGAAAACTAAAAAGAAAAAACTCTGTTTTTCTTATATGCAACACTTCTAACACCAAATGTATTAGCTTTCCACTCCATTAAGCACTCTCCTACTCTCCGGACACTAACTGGTTGTCCTACAATTCAATTGTGACTTTAACTACCCAGCGTTAATGCCAGTTGCAAGTCCCAGATTATGATCTGTACTTCTGGCCAACCGGCTATTAATCAGGAGTTCCCATGACCCCTTCCTCGGGTTCAATTATTTGCTAGAATGGCCCACAGAACTCAGGAAAGTGCTTTACTTACTATTACTGATTTATTATAAAGGATGCAATTCAGGAACAGCCAAATGGAAGAGATGCATAGGACAAGTATGGGATTGGCTGGGGGTGGTGAGTGGAGCTTCTCTGCTCTCTATGGGTGGACTACCATCCCAGCACCTTGATGTGTTCACCAACCCAGAAGCTATCCAAACCCCCAAATCTATTGTTTAGGGGTTTTATGGAGGCTTCATTACATAGGCATGACTGATTAAACCATTAGCCATTGGTGAGTAAGTCACTCCCCAGTCCCTCTCCCCTTCCTAGAGGTCAGGCAGTGGGGCTGAAAGTTCCAACCCTCGAATCACATGGTTGGTTTCTCTGACAGTCAGCTTCCCATCCTCCAAGAGTCACCTCATTAGCACAAACTCAGGTATGGTTGAAAGGGGCTTATTATGAATAGCCAAAGATGCTCCCTTTATCTCCATCACTCAGGAAATTCCAAGGTTTTAGGAGCTCTGTGCCAGGATCTGGGGTTGAAGACCAAATATGTATTTCTTTTTTTTTTTTTTCCTTTTTGTCTTTTTTACTGACCGGTAACGGGATCGCAACCCTCGGTGTTGCGCCCTGCACCGTGCTCAGCTGGTGAGCGGGAACCGGTCTGCACATGGGATCCGAACCCTCGGCGGGAGCGCTGCCACGCTCCCAAGCGGCGCACTCTCCAGTGTGCCACCAGGCCGGCCCCAAATATGTATTTCTTATTATATTACACTATTACATCCGTATCACTGATATCTCTTTTGGTACTTTTTCAACTGTGGAGGCGTGGCAGAGCTGGGATTATAGTACTGACAAAAGTGGAAGAGGTCTGGAGATATGAACGGGGGATATACTTTTAAATATCTTTTCAAAGCCCAAACTTGGAGATGAAGGTCTTGGGGGCAATTCAGGCAGCTAAGGG